TGGCAGGCTGTTTCTTCTTAATGATTTTCTCCTCCACCTGCCTCCCAAAAATCATCTGGTTAGGCACTGATTATTGATAAGGATGAGCAGTAGCATTCTTGATGCTTACTAGCTACTTAAAAGGTTAAAGCCTTCATGCTCCATCAGCACCTCTTTATCTCAGATATTGTATTCAACTGTTCTACTCTAAATACTAACAATGAATAATTATTTGCCAAATTAGTTTACCAACTCAGCATTTTTCCCCATAATATCCACACATAATAATGCTATCTATGGCTCTAAGAACTACAACAGGCTCTTTCACTAAGAAGAAAAGAATAATAGTTGACAGGACATATTTCCTTGTTTCTTGTCTCATGTTCCTAAATACCTTCCATGTTTCTGCCTACAACATTGCCTAGTTTTGTTAGCTTATGCAGCAATTAGTGGCTTGGTTAAGCATTTTCGGATACTTCCATATGAAAATCCCTCTATAAGAATTAAAAATTCTGATTTTTTGCAGTTCATTTTTTTTATTTCTGTAAGCAAAACAAGTAATTTTAAGAGATTACAAGTTTTTTAGTTCCACATAAAGAATCTGCAAGAGTACATCTCAAAGCATCACTGCTGCAAACAATGCAAGTAGAAGCACAGTGACTCAAGAAAAAACAAAGAGCTCCACAAAAAGATATTTTAAGGCTACTGCTTACTCCTAAGGGGTTGCTTCATGCCAGATCAAGAAATACTATAAAAACTCCTTAGGTCTCATATCTCAGAGCATGACAGTATTAGACTAGTATATTTCTAATGAAAATGCACAGACTTATAAAAATTTGACAATATCAGCACAACAGAAAGGGTATATTAATAATAATAGAAAGGTATACTCAGAGGGGAAAAAGACAGGAAAAAAAAATTCCAGTGCTAGATCAGCTATAGCTACCAAAACCAGAGAGAGATTTCAGCAGTTGCAAACAAAACATGACTGGTGTCGGTACATCACTACTAAGAGAAGTTCCAGGAACATCCCATTATGGTCTGGTTTCCTAAAGTGTAGAAAAAGCAGTGTTCTACTGGCACCAGGGAACCAGCTATTGCTGCCTAATAAAAACATCTTTGTAATTATTTAACAGAGCAAACAAGCTGCCTACAGAAATAAGGATTCACATGTAGATTAAAAGAGAAGAGAGAATAAATTGGTAGTAAAATACCGGAATTTGCCCCTCATTAGACCTTGAGAAGAACTGAGAAGAGGGATGCAGGCAAGAAAAAGGTGTGATTCAAGTGAACAAGACAACTTAAGATTTTAGCCAATTTTCTAAAACCAAGTGGTCTGTCTCCTCTTATTATGGTCAAGATTAATCTTTTGTAGTGCTGCCAGCTTCTGGACAATAAGCTTATTATTACTGTCATATTGCATTGAGAATGCTTTCATTGAAGAGCATCTGGAGAACAGAGGCTGTAAAAGACTTCTGCAACTTAGAGCAGAATTTCTCCTTCCTTTTTCCCAGTGCTGCATTAAGTATTGAAATTCCTTGTGGGTAATGTCTTCCCTTTTTTATCTATCTTGTTTGGTCAAAAGATACTCAAATATACATTTCCTAACTAAATGCAATTTCCTTTTCTATTTAACATAAACAAGAATGTTCACAGCAGTTATTTCTCTTCCTCCATCATATAGAAAAGTAAAAAAGTAAACAGAAGCCTAAACTATCTCTAGTCCTGAATCCTGTCTCCAGACAAGTACCAAAGAAAAAAAAAAAGAAAAAAAAATTCTAAACAACCAACACCACCCAAAACCAAGGCAAACATTTACTGACACTTCTACAAAAGACATTCTCGCCTTCTAGTAACATGCCATTCAAGGGCTTCCTACACCCAAGGTAATACATTTGTTGAATAGTAATCAAAGAAAAAATGCATATATGTTCAAAAAGTATTATAGCACAAATTTAGCCAACCACAATTAACGCATCGTCTGGCAAGTAAATACACAGCGAAAGTAAAATAATACAGATGAACCACATGAACTTCCTAGATTCACTGACTCTCTCTAATCCTTATTTAAGAATGAAGATTGAAGAATCAGCTTTTCCATGCTGCAGAAGTGCATTAGCCTGTACAGAGAAATTATCCTCTTTACTCAGGGCTGGTGAATCATACTGGGAATACTACCTCCAGTTTTCGGCCCTCTAAGAAGCCTTATTTCTGTATGATAAGAAGCATGGTCAAAAAAGTACTAGACTTGTAGATGGGATTAAAAAAGAAAATACTGTAGAGATTACAAAAGAGCTTCTCCTATTCACTACCAGAGGATGCATTGATCATCCAACCGGAGAACAGGGTCGTCATTAAATAGGAGTAATTTGGAAAATTGTTTCTGCAAATATTACAAATTCAGCAAGTCACTTTCCAGTGAAAAACTCTTCAGTAAACTTATTACAGCTAAGTCTCAAATTTGGAAGCAACAATGCCAGCACATTTATTTAATATTATCAGCTGCCACTAAAAGACGACATTTAATAGACCTGCAAAAAAAATGTGGGAGAAAAAACTGATGTGGGCTACTTCTTTTTCCTGAGTGTAGAAGTGAAAAGCTTTCCTCAGTCTACAGCACCAGAAATTTGTCTTGTTTTTTTTCAGAGCTCTGCAAACTGAACACAAACCCCATCATTAAAATATATTAAAGAAATCGAAAGCTAAGCAATTATACTAAAAGACTGGTTAGTGGCTAAACTGACTGTTTTTAAGCACATGCTTAACTCCCAATGTTAAAAAAAATACTAAAATCTTAATATTTAACAAGCTGATCATTAAGATAGTAAGAGATCTAAAAGAAACTGGAACCCTTAACAGGACTTTTAAAGACACCAGGAAAGAAAAGAAATCAACATTATTCATGTCTTTTCAGCTAAATTGATCTTCAAGCCAAGACAGTACAGAAAATAAAAACATCCTCCAATTGTCTATATTCTAATGCAAGTTATTTTTAGAACACCACAACAAAACATCTAAAAAGTGCAGATCTGTACAATGCTATTTAATTGTTTAGGATCTGGAACTGCAAGATGTAGAAGTCTTATTTACAGATAGATCATTTTGCTACTACAATACACTTTGGATGGTCCAGACTGACACACTATTTTTGGTGGACCACTTTTCCTATGCAAAATGAAGGGTTACATCTTTTACCATCAGCCTAGAGGCCTGAAATAGTAAGGGAGCTTGGAGAAGAAAAGGCAGAAATCAAGAAATGGAGCCGAAGGGAAAGGATAGCTACCTACATCCTCTGATCTTAAACTGAGTTTCTCTCAATTAAGCACTTCTGCTCTGTGAAGGCATTAGGCTTCACTGATCCCCACAAGAATTCAGGATAAAGCACACTCTCTTTCATTGGGTTGCTTGAAGCTCACCTTTTATTTGATTGTTCAGCTGCCAATATTTAGCGCTTTTTCATAAAACGGTGCTTTTTTTTTTCTTAGGTAACATGACATGTACCAAATGCTGGTGGTCTTGTTTCATTTGGAAGGATTCTGCTGCCATTACTAGCTTCTTTTGCTAAATTTTCAGGGGAAAGGAACAGGAAGCCTAATTGTACTGCTATAAAGACCACTGTCTCTTAAACAGGTAAAAAATTCATTTATAAATAAGTTCATTTCTTTTTAAAAATTCCTTTTTAGAAAGCAAATAACTTTATAAAGGAAGACTGAAGTAACATAGTAGACTTACATCTGTTAGCAAAAGCATTTGAACAAAACTTAAATTCTCAAAAATAAAGCCTTCATAGAGGATCAACCTGTCATTGTGCTCAGGAGAAGCTACTGGAGCCCAAATGAAGGGCAAGGAGCATTCAGATTCATGGGACCTTGAAGATCATCTAGCTCCAACCTCCCTGCCATGGGCAGGGACACCTTCCACTAGACCAGGTTGCTCAAAGCCCCATCCAACCTGGCCTTGAACACTTCCAGGGATGGGGCATCCACAGGTTCCCTGGGCAACCTCTCCCAGCGCCTCACTGCCCTGACTGATATATTTCTTCCTAGTATCTAGTCTAAAACTCCCCTCTTCCAGTTTGAAACTGTTACTACGCCTTGTGCTATCACTACCCTCCCTGATAAACAGACCCTCCACATCTTTTTCCTGTAGGCCCCCTTCAGGTACTGGAAGGCTGCTCTAAGGTCTCCCTGGAGCCTTCTCTTCTCCCAGCTGAACAGCCCCGACTCTCTCAGCCTGTCTTCATAGGAGAGATGCTCCAGCCCTTGGATAATCTTCGTGGTTCTTCTCTGGACTCGCTTCAACAGGTCCATGTCCTTCTTACATTGAGGGTTCCAGAGCTGGATGCAACATTCCAGGTAGGGTCTCACAAGAGCAGAGCAGAAGGGCAGAATCACCTCCCTTGACCTGCTGGCCATTTAGCTTGTCTTTAATGGCCAGCGGCAATGGGTGCTAGGAGACAGAATGAAGGCACTGTACCAGTTGTTCTACATGTACTGCAAGTCAAGATAAGGTGTTACTTGCAAGGCACAGGAAGTAAACTCCCGAAACATATACCCTCAACTCATCTTTGTGTAACCTGGTTCTCCAGTACTGAGAAGTTAACTGCTGTTCAATCAAACAAATCCATTTTTTTAGTATTGCAATTATTGGTGTGAAGTTGTTTTTTTTTTTTTTTTTTAAAGGAATTTAAAAAATAATGTAGTTGAACTGAAAGCTGCATTCCACGATGTACTAACTGAAGCATTTTCTGTAAAACTACAACGGTGGGAGCTAGTGCAGATAAAAGATTGGTATTGTCATGTGCTGAACTATGAGACGTAACCTACTCTCACAAGCTCATAAAGAAATCTACATAGTAAAGACTAGGCACTAGAACCAACTCTCAGATGAGCAAGTCTTGAAAATAATACACATAGAATAGAATAGAGTATTTCAGTTGGAAGTTACAAGGCAAGAAGAAAGAGTTAAAGGGAAAAGTAGTAAATTTAGCACTAAGAAAATAATCTAATATAAAAACTTATTTGCAATCAGTAGTCAGAGAGCACAGACAAAACATGAAGCAGCAAGAAAAACTTCTTGCATATTAGGAAACTGCCTGATCCTCAAGACATGCTACTTGTAAACTCTTGCAGCAGCTCTACTTGAGGTTACATGACACAACTATGCTAGTAAAGGGCCCCTTTCTAGTTAGAGCAATCTTACAACTTTCCTCAGGATAAGGTTGTACATCCATCCCCAATCATAAAGTTGCACAGTCTCTGAGGAATATTTCATCTGCATCAGGAGTTCCTAATTAAACACCTTCAGACACACAAATATTTGGGCTCAGCTCACGTGGTCCATCCAAATACTAGGGTACTTTGACAGAAAATGCTTTAAATCCACTTTAATACAATCCTAGCATATCAACTAGCAAGATGAGACAGAATGGAAACCAAAGGCCAGTCTTCTCCAGCTATCTTTTCCCTCCGTAGAGAAAGGAAGTAAAACTTAAAACCAGAAAAACAAACTTGCCATGGAACAGCAAAAAATCAAGAAAAAGGAGTTAACTATTCAGTTTTATTCACAAGTGCCTCTGGGAAGGTTTCTGGGTTTTCTTTTCTATGAACTCAGCACTTCAGCACAGGAAGCTAGACCCTAAGCAGGATTTTTATGAAATCTTGGAGTAAAGTCAAACTGGGTGACTAAGCCTCATGTGAAATCGTCAGCATCATGCCTTGGATATTATAAAAGCAAAATGCTGGGATAAGAAGAAACCGAACTTGTAAGGACAATACCAAAACTCAAGTAGCAGAACTATATACTTTTATACTTATACAGATCTTATCTTATACAGCTCTTATCTTATACAGCTATATACTGTATACTTATACAGATCTTTCTTTTATCTCCACATTATACCAGCATTAACAGTCCCCTTCCACCCCCACCCCCCTCCTCCCAGCCCAAACACAAAAAACCATCCACAGCGATGCCATCCTTTGGTCTGCACACAGATCTGGCACAGCCAACTTACTTTTCTTTCTTTTCCTGTTTGTGTGCTTCCCGTGCGAGCTGCGCAGCTTTTCTGCTGTACGGGTGGATAACTTTTTTCTCTTGCTTCCCTCCTTGGCTCTTCCGTAACTTGGGCTGAAAAGAAACGCGCTGTGGCGCGGCCCAAAGGGACGCCAGCCTCTCCGGGAGGGCAGCGGCCCACGCCACGGGCAGGGTCACCCGGGCCTTCCCCCCTCCCCGCCCCAGCCTTCCCCCGGGGCCGCCGACCGGCGGGGG